CCCAGCCTGGCCTTGGGAGGGGGCAGGGACGGGTGTCCTCCTGGGCACCAGCGGACCCATTGAATGGCATTGCTGATGGGCAGGGATGCGGCGGGTGTGGGAACGTCTGGAAGGTGTCGGGCGAGGGGAGCGGACTCCGCCTGGGGACGAGGAATTGTGCGGTGCAACCAGCGTCCTGTGCACCCTGGCGGCTAAGTCCTACCTGTCCCACCCCCGAGTCCTGGCTGGGGCACCTGTGAGGCCGGTCTCACCTGAAGCTTTCCTCCCAGGTTTCCATGGCAACTGGCTAGCCAGTGCTGGCGGCCTCTGCGGGGAGGGGAGCGGGTTGCTGGCGCTGGAGGCTGCTCACCCTCCCTTCCCGCCAGCAGTGCCTTAACGCCAGGAGCGGCGTCTGCACGGGCCGGGCTGCTTCACAGCGGGGTCTCCGTGAACCCTGGGAAGTAGATCCAGAATGTCGCATGTGTGTACATTTTTCACGGGACAGGCTCTGCTTCCTTCTGTCGCACAGGGATCCGAGAGGACAGTTCTAGGCTGTCTCAGTCCGCCTGCTCCTCCCCGTGTCATCCATCTCTCCACAAGGGTGTGTTTGTGCTCGAGTTTATAAATCCAGTAGCAAGATTCCAGTGTGTCAGACCTAATTTTGCACTTACAAGGCATTACCCATTCCCTTGTTTTTCACCCCGCAGGAAACGCTGGCAAACTTGGAGAGACAGATCTATGCTTTTGAAGGAAGCTACCTAGAAGACACCCAGATGTACGGCAATATCATTCGTGGCTGGGATAGGTACCTGACCAACCAAAAGTGAGTGTCAGAAGCCGGCGGTGTTTGTATGGGGACCCACTAATACTGGCTTTGAAGACTGTGTGCATTTTTGGTGGCAGCTTTGTAGGCAGGGGATGTAATACGTGGTAGTGTGGAAAGGGGTTTGGGCTTGAGCTGGGGTTCTGGTTCAGCCTCACTGAGTAATCCTAAACAAATCCTACGTCTGTCTAATAGGGGAGTCCTGCCTGTGGCACAGGGTGTGTGAGGCTTAAATGAAACACAGCATGTAATACCTTACACAGCAGCGTTCTGTTAGTGTTTTCTACGTTTTTTTAAAAAAATATATATTTTACTGATTTTTTATAGAGAGGAAGGGAGAGGGACAGCAGAGAGTTAGAAACATCGATGGGAGAGAAACATCGATCAGCTGCCTCCTGCACACTCCCCA